TTTGAAGTTACTTGGACTGTCTCGTCTCTTAGAGTTAGCAATGGTAAGAAGAACCAAAATAGATCTACAACACGTCTGTGAATCTGCTAACATGATAGTTCATATCAGCCGGAATGCTGTCTGTGATGGAACTAACCTGAGTTCCTGAGGAACTTTAGAATGAACACATAAATAGAAAATAAATGTATGCATGGCTGTATAAATAAATCATATAAATTCTGTTTAGAAATTAAACAAATACAATCATAAAAATCAAATAACACACCCTTTAGCTTTTCAGAGGAACAGACTCTTCTTCATCATGATGACATGCAAATGAGACTGTGACCAAAATCTTTTATGTGACTTTACCTTCAACTCGATTCAAGCCTAGTTGGTCTTTAATAAGTTAAGCACTCAAAATACATGCTGTGAGCAATAATGAATCTGGGACAACCCATAAGGTTTTGTTTGGCACTAATGATTTTCCAAGTGACAAGAAAACTGACCACGATCAGAAAAATGTGATAATTATTTCAAAGAATTTTTCTTCATTTCCTGGCACAAAATAAACATGTCTAAAAACCTGTCAAATATTAAAAAAAAAGAACAAAAAGAAAAAGAAGAAGCACAATTGGGGACCTGTTTAACTATCTTCTGCATGCAAAATTAAAAAAAAAAAACTTTAAGGACTTCAGGGGTTCTGTAGATTACAATGTAGTCATTTTTCATTTTTACCTGTTAGCATGTAAAAGTCCTTGAGGTAAACAGGGTTGTCCTCCTAAATAAAGGAGAAAATTACTTAAAACATATTCAGATTCTAGGTTTCTTTCATGTTTCAGTGTGTAGCTTCACATGTGTGAATAAATATGAAAGGAAAAAAGTTCACATCACCTCTTGGTTGATGCTGGAGGCTCCTCCAAAGAGAAAAGCAACATTTCCTGCCACAGCAACAGCGTGCCCATGTCTGGAAAAAGGCATGGACTGTAAGAAGTGGCCAATTGAAAATTACAGGTAATTGCTAAACCATGGTGCTACAGTAATACAACAATGGAGGAGCTACTGTAGCAAATTAAGTCATCCAATAATATTTACCTAAAGCAAGCTAACATCAGTCCCTGCGAGCTACTGGTCATACCAGACCAAGTAAGGCTGTATCAGCAAAGTGTGTAAGATTGTTTTACTGCTTATGTATCCAACTGTTTTGTGCCTTCCTTTAAAACATTGTCTTATTTTATGATACCAAATCCATGTGACGCACCTGGGACTTGGGGGTTCTCCCTTCATCTCTTTTCCTAACCAGCGGCCGCTGGCTAATGCCATTGTCACATCTGTTGTCACACACACACAAAACATCTGAACTGTTTAGGAATCCAGTTCACAGGAGTAACCACTTACACTACAGGGGAGGTTTTCATTGTGACCCCTCTGTTGGTTTCTCTTTTAGATATCAGAATATTATTTATTAGATCTGAGTCACATTTGCCAGAAATGTAACAAGTGATTAGTTGGTAAGGATAAAGGCACCATATGGCATTACATTGCATCACATGACTTGTTTGGCTCATAATCCCTGCACTGTCAGTCAAAGTAGCTTCACACATTGTGCAGGGCAGCTGAGTGATGACAGATATCAATTCCTGAGTGAGTCAACCTACAAAATCTGATGCCACTCTAGGTGGTGCTACAACAAGAACATGATGTACTTGCCATATGTGACAAATAGATTGTCTAGACAGTAAATAAAGGACTGTGTGGCCTTGGCAGATGTATTCACTCAGGTTTTTCAGTTACCTTTATAAAAACAAATCAGCAGGATGAAACCTACCTGTTGAGGTTTGTCAGGAGGTGAACTTCTTGGTTTTCTAGCTCTATTGGTGTTTTTGTCAAAATTGCACTAAGGTATAGATGAGTCAGCTCGCAGTCCAACAGCTGCACTCTGCATCTCAGTTTACAGGTAAACTACACTTGCCTTTGCAGGTACACTGTTGCCTAGCAACACCTCCAAACACACTGTTGACCAGAGCAAGTCAGCATCTCACAGGCAGAGTGAGAAGGAAGTGCATTGTCTGGTTCTTTTGACAGAAGACAAAGAGATTCTGAAAACCGGATACAACTAATTTAGTATATCAAAGGTCAAGGTCAACGTGTTTATTTGTCATATGCACAGGAAACATGTTTCCCTGTACAATGCAATTCTTACTTTGCCGTCCACATGAATGCCACAAAATACAAGTGAAATATACAGTAGATGAGCAATAACACAAATCTAAATAGGCAGTAAAATCATAAATCTAAGGCACTTTAAAGCAGCAAGTGAAGGAAGCAATTAAAAATACAACAAGAACACAATATAATGCAGAGAGAATATATGCTGCATGGGAGCCATGGAGTGTAAATACTCAGCAGTGAGTGTGCAATTGTGCATGTGCAAAATGAGTATGTAAACAGTACAGGTGGAATTATATGAGGTGAATCCTGAGTCAACTGTTTAGGAGTCTGATGGCAGTCGGAAAGAAAGAGTTTTTCAGTCTAGAGGTCCTGCATTTCACACTTCTGAGCCTCCAACCGGAGGGTAGGGGTATGAACAGTCCATGCTGGGGG